AATTTTATTTTACTAAAAATACCACCGATCGTAATCTTATCTGATAGAGAAAAAATGCTGAAAATTTGGAGGTAATCGGCCGACCTCGATCCGCGGACCCTGCCTGGTCCTTAGTGACAGTGACACTTAACTAAACGATTTAGTTTATTTTTATATAAATATTGCTAAATAATTAAATTGAATTCCAGGTATGGTCTTATTAAATGCTTGGTCTTACTGGGTAATTAAGAGCTTCAATTGTCATAAATCCTTAAATAATCTAATGATGTGTAGGGAGAACTTCACATCTTAAAAAATATCATGTTAGTCTTACATTTGTTATAATTGACAACAAATTTAGTGTTTAAGACAAAGAACACGTTTAGGAAACTAACCTGCACAAAGGTTCCACATTCTTAAGTCAACATCCTTAAATACTCGGTCAAAATATCACCACGAACGATGATAAAGCATTAGAAGCATGGTAGTTTTGAAAACGAAGACCAAAGCATGAAGCACCCAAATCTCGAAAACGAAGCACCCAAAACTTGAAAACGGAGCACCCAAGACTTGAAAACGAAGCACCCAAATCTCGAAACCACTGTACGTTGAAGGACAACAACTTAAACAATAAAGCATCCACACGTCCAAAGGTCCACCAATCCATCCCATTTCTTGCCTTCAGAGGTAGGGAGGTATTGATATTTATTGGTTGAGCCCATCTTTCCTGCAACCTTTTTGTCTACCTAAGCCTCTGTTAAAGCACTTCACGAGCACTTGCGTTGATCATTGGTCTTACCAGTAAAATTCAAGTGCTTGTCAAGCTGGCATTCCAACTTTCTCTGCCCCTACAATTGAGTGTTTGTTTGTTTGAATGCTTCCGTAAAAGGCTTAAAATGGCCAAGGATAGTAGTTCTCTCGTCCTTCCACGAAAGTGCGAAGGTCTGAACATTCAGCCACGTTTATTTCTAATTGATCGTGTTTCAAATTGATCATGTTCACCACTGACAAGTGCTGACTGTTACTGCTGTCCTTCCTTATATTGTTTACCTTGAGTTTTCCAAAATCTGCCTGCCCCACACAAGCACTACGGCGTTTTGATGTTTTTGCCGATTTTCAAAGTTTTTTTCAACCTGAAAACTAGGGGTTCGCACTCAGCGATGTCCACCAATGACAGACTTCTACCTCACATGTAGCCGCTCCCTTCCCCCAACAAAAGAAAAACCATATACACTCTTTGAAATACTTTTCAGTTTTCCTGTTAAACTGTAAAATTCGTTATGCATCTACTACCTGGAAGGAGCTAATTCGAAAATCACTACGTTTGCCCATTTTCAGAAATATCACAGAAATCACGAAAAAAAGAACAGTTTATTTGTAGGAAGCTGTCACAAATTACAGACGTTTATATGGAAGTTTAACCACGTCTCGAGTCAACTTGATCCCTGTCCAACCCTTAGAGCCTCAAACTCGGTCAAATAACCAATCTCAACATGACCTTTTATATGGTGGTGTCAGTTTATTGATAGTTTAAATCTGATACTCACCCCAGTGCCCTACGCAACTCCGAAATGGCCAATAGTTAGGGCGGCAGAAAAGCATTTGCAACACGTTGTTGTCACACAGACGTTCAGTTTTATTCACTTAACTGGATTGCGACTATCCGGTTTCCGAGACCAAGCATTTCAGTGTTATTTTATTCGTTTCCCCGATAGGAGCTCTCTGCTATGGTAAAAGACTTGCGTTCCCACGTTAGTCAACTTCAGGGAACGGATCACCAAATGCGTTATAACGACCTAAAGGCCAAACTGAAGGCTTATTGCCTGGCCCCCGTTCTGCTCTATTTAACATCTTGGCTACGCCCGCCGAAATCGAGGCCGATAAAGTTGTGCGTCGTTTCGAGCAGAGATCCCGTTTCTCTCAGTACTTCAGGGGACCTGCCTGACCACACCCGTTTAGGCATTCTTGCGTTGACTGTTCTGGATCCTGTTATGCCTGTGGGGAGCAGGGACATCTTGCTAGGGATTGCCGCAGCAAACGAAAAATGTAACTCGAATGCCTTGTCTTGTTACTTTATGTTCAAGTGATCAATAAAGTACATTTGTCAGATGACTTGCACCCATATTTGTGGACGACCTTAACTTTATTCCGTCCTGCTGGGAACCCGAAAGGGAGTCTGCCACATCCAAGTTGCCTCCGCGTTCTAATGGAGAGACCCTGTGCTGCCGGATGGGACAGCCTTCCTCCCCTCGGGGCCTCTTGTTCACAACAGTAGACCTCATAGCTTTAACCTTTCCTTTCACAGTTCGACCATGTAATTCCTGCATGGGAGCTGAAAACCACGTTTAACCCCGTGGCTGTGACCCACATTTACGAGCAACACCCTGTCAAGTGGACACGCTGGCCCCAAGGCACCGTTTATGTCCTGTCATAAAAACGCCATTAGCTTTGAGCTTTTATTTCAGGTATTTTTTATTCATACGATGTTTTCCTTTATATTTTAGTGTATGCTAAGAAGTGCCATTCTTCATGGGTAAAAGGAAGACAAAATGAGCAAGGAAGCCACCTGACTGATTTTCAATGCCAAAGTATTTATAAATAACAGCACTTTGTATACACTCAGTATGTCCAGTAAAAACGACGTAAGTGCAAGCTAGCTACGTCGTCCTGAAGGCTTTAGATTCAAACAGTGTAAACAATTTTTAGAATTTGCTTTTTGCTCCCCAACGTTTTTAATTACAACATTAAGTAAAGTTGTATGTTTAAAACGTATGACTGGTCGAATGAAAGAGTGCATTCAATCAGTGAGCTAATACATTGAAGGTTGGAAATTTGTGTGTGTCGTTAAGCATCATAGGACATTAGTTCTGGCATTGCTGCTGACACATGTTATTGCTAAGAAGTCGTATGAAATGGACTGCGCTTCATGAGGCAAATGCGGGATTCGTTATCCCCATATCCAGATGACCGATGTTTTTATTGATTTTTTAAAATTATCGATTGAATCGCAATCGCGCACAGCAACTGTTCTTTCCAGCGCTTCACCAACGCTGCACAGCCCTGCATAAAGGCTGTTTATCAACCATATGGCTATTTTTTTGCATCTTTACGGCAGCGCTCCTGCAGCTCTCAGCGTCGCTACCACAGCGTTGACAGTCACAAAAATGGACTGCTGCAGCGAATGTACTGCTTTAACTGTACTCACGAGATGATATAAATCATCCAAGATCTTAAACCAACTTTGAACGTGCAATCTGACTCCATGCGCAGTAATTTATTTACATAATGACAAAAGAAGAGAAATGTTTATTGTACTGTGCCATTTATATTAAAAACTATAAAGAAACAGTGAATGATAGCATAATCGAAAAGTCGGATAGCACTAATTTTAACATTCTGCGATTATACATGTTATAATCGCAATTTTATTGCACCCTTTATTTCAAGCAAGTGCTATTTAATTCTGCAGAATGTTTTTGTCCGTGCTCGACTCCAGACTCGAGAAATTGGGGCCACGTCTGGAGCCTGTTCAAGTTTGAAAAACCTTGACCAAAATGGTAAAAGACACAGTCCAATCATTGAAACTGGAAAATGACAAGTTAAAAGATAAGATTCAAGAAATTTGTGCTGAATTACGCAAACTACGAGACAAAGTTAAAGCTGGACGAAATGGCGGCCATGCCAGTTCATCTGAAGGCACCGATGAGGGAAACACTACGGCAACTCCGAACAGCATCCAAGAAGACTTTAAGAAATATGTGAACGACAGGATGTCACTTATTGAAAAATCTTTGGAACGCTTGTCATCTCAAGCGGATAAAATATCATCTTCATTCGATCAAGCATTGGAATATTCGTATTCATACAACATCAAGCTTGTGGGCGTTCCTGAAGTTAAGCAATGAGAAAGCGCCGGAGATACGCTGGAACTTTGCATGAGAATCTTCAACAAAATTGGAGCTGAAATTCATCCTTATGACCTTGACATTGCCCATCGAGTGACATCTCGTAACACGTCTGATGGTCGACCGAAACCGATTATTTGTAAATTTACTCGGCGCATCGCCCGTGAAAGTGTTATGGGAGCCCGTAGAGAAGTAAACAGGATCGTTCCTGCTGATATTGGTCTCCGAGAAAGCTCATCTTTAGAACATGCTGCTATCTACGATCACCTCTCCCCACGACTGCAGAGTTTATTATCTGACGCCAAGAAAATAAAGGAAAGATTTCTCTTCTCATTTTGTTGGGCCAAGAACTCAACCATCTGGCTGCAGAAAAATGAAACCTCTCGTCCGATCACCATTAAAAATTCAACCGACTTGTCCAGTCTCACAGCCCGCCTAGGATCTTCTGGTGATGTTACCACTCCATAAGAACATTAACAAACAATCTACTAAGGTACATAAAACACTCCTAAGCGAGTTTCCATATTTCAATTACAGCGATCTAATTTCCGCACATGGCCAATTTAATAATTCTCTTAGTTCCTCTCTTCCTACCAAAAAATGTCTTGATCGTCTCCCAAGTTATTACGACCTTGATTTATTTACTCTGAATACATTTTTAGATAGCAGCTCCGACTCCGAGACTTATTACTCTAATACAAGATGTAAATACTTCTCTCTACGTAGTTTTTGTGATCAAAAAAGTAAGTTTGCTACTAATCCCTATCCAGATTCTAATATTTCGTTGCACACAAATATCCGCAGCCTAAAACGTAATTTAGAAAATTTTCAAACTCATTTATTAGATGAACTAGATTTTCATTTCAATATCATAAGCTTAACAGAAACAAGAATAAACAGCTCGACTGAGAACTTAGATTTTAATCCTTCGATTTTGCATTATAATTTTGAATACCTGCCAACGCCTCTTTCAGCTGGAGGTGTAGGCATGTATATTGATGAGCGATTTCAATATCAAACAATAGAGAGGTGTTCTAATGAAGCCTTCCAGGCACTTTTTATCGAATTACATCTTCCCAAAAGTGCAAACATAATATGTGGAGTATTGTATAGGCAGCAGAATTCCCCTGAGCGTTTTCAGGAATATTTTGACTCGACAATGGAAAAGCTTAGCACCACTGGAAAACAGATTATTCTTATGGGTGACTTTAATACAAATCTTCTCCATGTTCATACTAGTGCTCACGCCCAAAATTTTATGCTATCTTTGCAAAGCCTGAACCTGACTCCGACAATCAACAAACCAACAAGAGTTCACAACAACTCTTACTCATTAATTGATAACATCTTTATTAACAGTCTAGAATATAGTATCTGTAGTGTAATTTATTTAATTACCAACATAATATTCATTCACATAACACAAGATCATCAACAAGAGGCAACTTCTTTCTTGAATACTCTAGATTAGACAAGCTAAACATGTCTTTTTCATGAAACGGTGTTAGAGTCTGGAATAACCTATCTAATGAAATTCGTCAAATGCCTAAAGTGAAATTTAAACGCAACATTCACAATATGCTCCTTCAGAAACTCTCGGAGGCGAATGAGTATATTGATCTATTGGATTTGAATATGTCTTGAAAACTAAACTCAGTTCATTCTATTAGCTTTCTATCTACATTATCCTTCCAGCTTCCCATGTAATCTGCCTTATTTCTCCTGAGAATCTTCGTTATTAATACTAGTCAGTATTCAGTATTCACCTTATTTTAATGTATTGTACGATAATAATTAATTTTACTTAGTATTGTAATCGTATTGTATTGTAATTGTAATTATTCACTTTGTATTTAGTATTCAGCTTATTTTAATGTATTGTGCGATAATAATTAATTCTATTTAGTATTGTAATTGTATTGTAATTGTAATTATTCACTTTGTATTTAGTATTCAGCTTATTTTAATGTATTGTGCGATAATAATTAATTCTACTTAGTTTTTTAATTGTATTGTTATTGTAATTATTCTACTTAGTGTCAAGCCGCTGCTCGCCTTGAATAGCTATAGCTAACTGCGAGCAGTGGTACATCATATTTTGTATTTTCTCAATTTTTCTTAATAAACTTGAAATAAACTTGAAACTTGGTCTGTTCTGCATTCATCTTTTGTCGCGTGTTGACATGTATTCGTTATATCGCGGTTGGTTTTACTTCCGCATTGTGTTCGTTATATCGAGGATTTCGTTCTATTGAGGTTTTGTTTGGCCAGGCTGTACTTTTCTGAATTATTGGATGACTGAGTGACTCAGGCGATCGGCGCTAAGTGTTAGTGGAACAGAGGGTAACGCGATCAAATTCCGCTGCAGGCGATAAATAGCTTTCCTTGCTTTTTTGTTTCCTCCTCTGGCCGAAAGAGCACTACTGGACGTCTCGACGGACATGACAAAACAAAAAACGGGTATTACGAGAAGTGTCTCGTCGCCTAGTGACAGCCGCTTAATAACAACAGGTATATACGGATTATTGAACTTGAAACTAAAGACTCAACATATCCCACGTTGGCTGTTATATTTTTGTCAGCGATAAGCAAGATAAACTAAATAGTTGTAAATCTTCTCACCACAAATTGTGTCGCGCTGCCGACTGAGTTAAAAACATCCTGAGAACCATAGAGGTCAGAGAGCATTCGACCCACCTGTCATTATACTACCTTGTTTTAACCGTAACATTTCCTTTCAACTTTCAGATTGACAAAGACGCTGTGAATGCCATGGAAGAAAGACCTTGTAGAACTCGGCTTGCTTGCCAAGGGCGATAGGATTAAACTTAAGTCATTTTGCAAAAAAGGCATCTCTTCTGACAGAGAAGGAAAGATGGCAAGAATAAAACAAATTCGTGGACAAGGTAAAGGAAAGAAGCTTGGAGATCCAACTTTTAGTGCAGCTGTCGGTTCCACGTCATCCGGAAACTCGGCAAGAACATCTAGCCTCAAGTACAAAGTCGGCTGGAAGCACTGGAAACCTGGCCGTGGTTATGTGCAGATGAAAAAAAATACCGGTGGTGGTACTCGTACAGTTCATATACCTCGCAACGCTTCCCTTGAAGAGTGCCAAACCATCGCAGAAGGTCTGTTTTTCCCGGAAGGCAAGAGTTCAGTTGGTGAATTGGAGAAAATGATCACTGCAATGGGCAATTTCAGTGGTGATTGTATTGTTTTAATGAGGGAAGATGGCAAGCCATTTCAATTTTCGCCCGAGCGGTACAAAGAGATGACAGGCTTAACAGTTCCACGCTTGTACCTATTAACGAAAAATGAAGATGATGCGGATGGTGATGAGGATGAATCATTCCCATCAGCATTTGGCTATCATGATCCATCATTTGGTACGAAAAGGGCGTCAAGCCCTTCCTTTCCAAAGGAAGACGGGCTCATTGGTACATCAAGTGAGCGCCAACAGTTTTTTGATGACCTGGATCAGGAATTGAGGGCTTCCCTTGCGGCCGATAAAGCGAAAGTAAAGAGTACAAACAAACAACAGCTGATATCTGAGCCCACCAATGACGAAACGGATTCCCTTGAAAGGCTTCGTCAAGTTCGTGAGCAGCGTTCTCTGCCAGAACCTGACAGCAGCGAACCAAAAGTAAAAGTGTCTGTACGACATTGTACGTTAGGTGTGGTCAGCAGAGTGTTTGACCCGGAAGGAAGCATGCAAGGCGTTTATGATTGGATTGGATCCCTTTCCAGAACACCGGAACATTTTTTTTTAGTTACGTTTCCATCAACAACGCTATACCCAGATGAGAAGGTTGTCAAAGTGAACGACACAGTCATTAACACGACTGAAACGACGGAACCTGTGCCGCTTTCTAAGGATGAGGAGGACGTTTATTTCCAAGATGGCTGGGGTTTGGAACATGGGTTCGACGACACCGTCTGGGACGAAAACGAATTTTGTTCTCCTCAGTCTCCAAGACAGCAAGGATTACCAGTTATTGCCACTCACTCCACCAACGAGATTGATCCAGTAAACATCAACCCTCCTGTGCATCTTCTAGCAAATGAAGACAACCCAAAGTCTGACAACAAGCTGTCACTTGAAGAAAAGGTTCAGCTACAGGAATCCAAATTACAACCGGCCAAAATAGTTATAATAGATCGCCATGATGCAGTTAATGAGTTATCGGCCTTATACAGTGACAAGGACATCTTGGATTGTAAATTATCGGTGTCCTTCGCAGACGAAAATGCTCTTGGGGATGGAACGTTAAGAGAAGTATATTCCCTCTTCTGGGACAGCTTTGTTGCAAGATTTTGTGAAGGCAGCAGGCAGTTTGCAGTAATACCTAATCCGTCATTGTCAGATGAGAATTACCAAGCCCTCGGAAGAATTATTACACACCAGTTAGTACTTACAGGTACTTTTCCTATACAGCTGGCAGAGGTATAGGTTTTGCATGCCTTATTTGGTCAAGTCAGCGACGACCGCCTTGTTAACTCATTCTTGCAAATTTTGCCGGAGAGAGAAAGGCAGATTCTGTTGAAAGCCATGGATGGAAAAGATCCTTTTCCCACCAACGAGATTGTTGATATCCTCAGTGAGTTCAACGCAAGTTCTGTTCCAAGTAGAAGCAATCTTCAAAAAATATTGAAGCAGGTCTCCTTGTCAGAAGTAATCCACAAGCCTTTCTTTATTCTGTCAAAGATGAGGCAAGGGATGGGCAATTTCTGGAATGATGTGGCAAAAGATGAAATCGAGGAACTGTACCGTAAAGCCTCCCGAGACCCCCAAAATGTCGTTTCATGTCTCGACTTTAACGTGCAAGACAAGAAAGAGGAACAAGTTAGCAGATGGCTGGTACGATTTCTGAAGGGAGCAAATCCAAAGCTACTGGGCCAATTTTTGAGGTTCTGTACCAGAACTGACATTTTATGGCCAGGAAAGCGAATACAAGTCCGTTTTGGGAGTATGTCTGAATTGGCCATGAGGCCCAAATCGAAAACATGCTTACAACAGTTTTACCCATTTTTGCTCAAACCTCGAATTCTACTAGTCCAACACATCGTTCTGGGATCTAAGGGATTAAGTCTGTCTTGTGTATTAAGCCATTGTTGTGTTCGACGTCTTTGAGAAGCAAAGTGTTCAAAATTGTCTTATGACTGGAAACAGACTTAACTTAAAAACTGTCTCGACTGAGACAATTAGCTAAGGATTTGGAATTCTAGCTTTGCAATATGTTTATTCTCGTTTACGTTAACGTAAGGTCTGGAGCTAAACACTTTCATCGAANACGTCTTTGAGAAGCAAAGTGTTCAAAATTGTCTTATGACTGGAAACAGACTTAACTTAAAAACTGTCTCGACTGAGACAATTAGCTAAGGATTTGGAATTCTAGCTTTGCAATATGTTTATTCTCGTTTACGTTAACGTAAGGTCTGGAGCTAAACACTTTCATCGAAGCATATCACCTGGAAGACAATATTTTAAGAGTGAAACTGCAATATGTTAAGTTGAGTTTTACAATCAAGTTCAGAAAGTTCGAGTTTGATCTGAGATCGATAATAGAACAAACCAAAGACTCACAGACAGGAAATCAAATTTCAGATTATCTGTTAAAGCTATTATGTTACGCACTTTGCAACGAGTGCAACGTTTGGTTGATGTTGTAACACCTTTTTTCTACTCTAAGAATTTATTAAATTACTCTGAAATTTTGTATCTACTTCATAATCCATATCTATTTTAATTTTCAGGACTTGAATCCTTTTATGATATGGTCACATTACCGGTTTCAGTGCTGGTAAAAAAAAATGATTCTGTTCAAGAGGGCAACCTTTTCTGAAATTTGTAAATGAGGGTCCCATGGAGAGGGGGAGGGATCTGAAGAAAGAGGATAACAACCCCTGGGTGCCCGAAAAAACATGATAACCAACAAGTGAGGGTCAACCCGCTTATGTCGTGGAGGTCGACTGGGTAAAGTAATACCAGGGGTCTCACCACTACCTATCCCAGTATCAATTTTAACGTAGCTAATTACCATTCTTGAGAGGCCAACCACCATCTTAAATTGAATCAATATTTTAACAAAGTATATTTCATTGACAGCGTCGCTGCTATAGCAACGAAATGATAACCTCAACCCTTGAAAATAACCTCATTCTCTTTATATCTTAAGGCGTTATGAAACAACAATTTTTTGTTTGGTTAAAAGAAAAGTGTACACAGACTGTAAAAATGGTTTGTCAGCCGGCTCTACCCGCGTCACACCCTCTCGGACCTGAGGGTCGGCCAGGGCCTCGCAATTGCTCTGATTTCTTTCGTTTGAGACTGATCTGCAGAAATCACAGCCAAGAAACTTATCAGCTATCTGTTGTTTCGGTAACTCGTAAGTGTTGAAAACGGAAATGCTTGTTTTAAAATGTTCACTGAGTTATAGAAAAGTAACTCTGAATCAATTGTGAATAATGAACTCCAACACAAACAGCTAAACCAAAAAACCAATTTGGACTTGCAGTGGAAAATGATTTTTGACCAAGATCCTTAAACAAGCCAAGAAAGTAATATACTCAGCGTTCCCAAATGCAATGACAAAAATAGCCGGTGTGCACGCGTTCTCGCAAAACTATCCGTATGTCCTCTCTCATATGTTCATGTGTTGAGGTGTAGCACCCCATGTCCATTTTTACAATGCTACAAAATGTACTGAAGCTCCGTAAATAACGTGAGAAATAGCTGTTCTGCTTCATCAGCATCGTTAGGCATTGAAAGATTATTGTTCCATTAGAAGAAGCATGAGATCTGAAAATTCCTCCTGGCAACCAAATGGTGGACATTCCTTGCGGAAGTACTCCTCCGCTGTCTGCAAATCATCTTTATCCACGTAAGTTTTGTAATCTTGAGAATCTGAAAGACAATACAATTATCGTCCTGTCAAAAATGGAACCAAGAAAGCAGCAATTCCAAAAAAAAACAGCCTCTATTTTCGATGATGTTTCAATCAATATAATCGCCTCAACTGCCGCTCGTGTAAAATAGTTACGAAAAAAATTAAAGTCAGCAAAACCTCCTATAAACACCAACTCACCTGTAATTTCGGGAAGAAAGAACAACATATCTGGCTTGCCAGCTGGAGTGTCCTGATTTGGATAAGGTCTGATCCTATGTGTATTCCACAGACAAGCAACTTCGTACAGCTCCCTCTGTAGAAACGTTGTGTAACAGAACTGAAGACAAGCCCTAAAAGAAAATTGAATTTTCATGATTTTCTAGTATATGATAAAAGAGTTATCAAGGCAACTGGATGATGGAATACGTCATTATTTGTTTTCTTTAGCCCAAGGCTGTTGTTTTCCTAACAACTAACTGTTACTCTAACAATATATGTCTAGCTTGCAAGAGAAAGGAATTCTTCCCTTTAAAACCTGGGGTACATTGTAGGCCAAAGAAAATATGTACATCGCTAGTTATTTCAATTATGGGGAAAGCTAACTTATTCTCAACGCATGATTTACAGTACATAACGTTTTTATTTTTAAAGGCACCAGCTGTGGGAAATGTTTCACAGGGTGACTGTGAATTCTCAAACATTTCTTTCGAGACTCAGAATACTAAATGAATAATACTTACTGTTGTACGGGGTCGTCATCCCTTAAAACGCCGGCATCACGTAAATCCTGGAGACGGCAATGCAGTAACACTTTAAGACTGGAGACTGATTATAAGGATTTAATGTACGACTCCCCAACAGGATTAAAACTTTAAATTTATGTAAGGAACTATTAGTTTTTGTTGAAGATCCATTCAGTGCCATCGGGCGAGAATGTTTTCAAACCATAAAGCACCAACCTTAAAGTAATTTATCCACCAGTCTGCATGGGACTTCCTCGGAAACGACCACCAAGCCTCTATTCTCTGTCAGGGAAGACATTTAGTAATTCACCGTGACATAAGAAGTTTATTCGTAAAGTCAAGCGACGAAAGTAGCGTTTCCCACCTGATTTGCTGACGACTTTCCATAAAGGAAACTTTTATCGCCTGAAAAGTCGTCAGTTGCCTCAGAACGGAAAAACCTTTGAAGGCCAGCAACAATGACATTCTCTGTTCCGCAGTCAGCCCTTACAATACGTGGAGCTCCTGAATACCAAAAATGCATATCTGACTGGATTTGCTAAAACGTGCCTTTAAAAATTTCTCTGAACTCCCATCGTCTACACTCGTTTATTACGTTCCTTGTTTTATTGTTTTTCGTTTTCTTTTGGCCGCCTGGAGCAAAGTTTTCCTGAGGACATCATTAAGTCCAAGGAGGGAACAAAGCTTGCGATTTGCACAGTGTGCGTCGTCAAATATCTTGCCGTATTCTTGGCATTTGTTTCAGGCTACACGGTCAACTGGAACCGGGCTGAACGAGAAAGATAAGATATTGCGCGCTTTGTTCAAGGCGGCTAACNCATAACGTTTTTATTTTTAAAGGCACCAGCTGTGGGAAATGTTTCACAGGGTGACTGTGAATTCTCAAACATTTCTTTCGAGACTCAGAATACTAAATGAATAATACTTACTGTTGTACGGGGTCGTCATCCCTTAAAACGCCGGCATCACGTAAATCCTGGAGACGGCAATGCAGTAACACTTTAAGACTGGAGACTGATTATAAGGATTTAATGTACGACTCCCCAACAGGATTAAAACTTTAAATTTATGTAAGGAACTATTAGTTTTTGTTGAAGATCCATTCAGTGCCATCGGGCGAGAATGTTTTCAAACCATAAAGCACCAACCTTAAAGTAATTTATCCACCAGTCTGCATGGGACTTCCTCGGAAACGACCACCAAGCCTCTATTCTCTGTCAGGGAAGACATTTAGTAATTCACCGTGACATAAGAAGTTTATTCGTAAAGTCAAGCGACGAAAGTAGCGTTTCCCACCTGATTTGCTGACGACTTTCCATAAAGGAAACTTTTATCGCCTGAAAAGTCGTCAGTTGCCTCAGAACGGAAAAACCTTTGAAGGCCAGCAACAATGACATTCTCTGTTCCGCAGTCAGCCCTTACAATACGTGGAGCTCCTGAATACCAAAAATGCATATCTGACTGGATTTGCTAAAACGTGCCTTTAAAAATTTCTCTGAACTCCCATCGTCTACACTCGTTTATTACGTTCCTTGTTTTATTGTTTTTCGTTTTCTTTTGGCCGCCTGGAGCAAAGTTTTCCTGAGGACATCATTAAGTCCAAGGAGGGAACAAAGCTTGCGATTTGCACAGTGTGCGTCGTCAAATATCTTGCCGTATTCTTGGCATTTGTTTCAGGCTACACGGTCAACTGGAACCGGGCTGAACGAGAAAGATAAGATATTGCGCGCTTTGTTCAAGGCGGCTAACAAGTCTTTGGTGTCAGAAAGTAGTTCTTAGGAGTCATCTCTACTCAGAGAGAGCGAAATTGGTCGTAGATTTTGAGCCGGCCAAAGACTTAGTATAAAAATGGATTTGACAGTGACTCTATGTGTTTCTGGTTCACGTGACTCTTTTCATCGGGGAACTTGATTAAAATGTCTGTGAAGATCAGTGTTTACACGTGTTTATGTGGCAAAAAGCGTAAAATGTCCGTGTCTTTTGAAGATATTTGGCTTCTGTTAAATGTGCATGGGCTTTGCGTTGTTTTCCGGAGATTTATCAGTGCAGTAGAAGTATTTTATTGTGTAATTTCTGGCATAGCGATGACAACCATTTGCCAGGTATGTGACTCGCAAGTTTTGTAAAATATTCTATCCCAGGCATTTTCGATGTTTAGTTTAGTCAATCTTGCCTTAGGAAACCATTTCTCGGCCCAACTGAGGAAAGAGGATTTGGTCTGTCTTCGGCGGACATTTAAGCTATGAACCTTAGATTTTCAGAGATCAAAAGGTCACCTTGTCTGTACAACAACTTTGAGAATATAATGTTGTCAATTTCATGGCTTATACAGTCAGAGCAACTTGACGTGTGTTCCCAGTATAAAAATTATCATTTGAGCCATGACGAGGTACTTTTAACTGCTTTTTATTCAACTTTTGAGGAACACCGTTGAAACACACCTGAAATTTCTAGAGGCACGTTTTAACAAATCCAGTCAGATATATATATTTATATAATTGTTTAGGAATACTGAAAGGAGAATTTCAACGCATCTAGGTCACATACCATTAAGTTGCTTTACACAGTCGACGTAGTACTGGGCAATGATTGCTGGATCGTTGTTTGTGCAAGTAACATCCAACCACAAGATACGACGAGAGTATCTGTAGCAACATCAACAATAAATATATCTTCAACATCTGTTATTTTGAAAGTGTGATTTAGGCTTGAGCACTTAAATATTCAGAGTCAGTCCTTGATGATTGGCAGGGTAGACATTAGAGACCACATATGTTAAAACGCTTACCCATCAATGGCACCGTGGATGCAAAATCCGTAAGGTTTCAATTTATCGTAGCCATCGATGTGCCAGAGATAATTAGGCCCCTGAGAAAAGAAAGAACGAATCTAGGCGTTAGCTGCATGTGAAATTTTACGAAAGGTTATATTCCTGTTTTTTCCAGTAAAGTGATGTGCCAGATGATTCCCTATTTTTGAAATACAAAGAAATTGCCTGCTGAGCTTTTATATGAAATGGAAGGACATTTTTACGCCGGATGTTTGCTTNTTCTATCCCAGGCATTTTCGATGTTTAGTTTAGTCAATCTTGCCTTAGGAAACCATTTCTCGGCCCAACTGAGGAAAGAGGATTTGGTCTGTCTTCGGCGGACATTTAAGCTATGAACCTTAGATTTTCAGAGATCAAAAGGTCACCTTGTCTGTACAACAACTTTGAGAATATAATGTTGTCAATTTCATGGCTTATACAGTCAGAGCAACTTGACGTGTGTTCCCAGTATAAAAATTATCATTTGAGCCATGACGAGGTACTTTTAACTGCTTTTTATTCAACTTTTGAGGAACACCGTTGAAACACACCTGAAATTTCTAGAGGCACGTTTTAACAAATCCAGTCAGATATATATATTTATATAATTGTTTAGGAATACTGAAAGGAGAATTTCAACGCATCTAGGTCACATACCATTAAGTTGCTTTACACAGTCGACGTAGTACTGGGCAATGATTGCTGGATCGTTGTTTGTGCAAGTAACATCCAACCACAAGATACGACGAGAGTATCTGTAGCAACATCAACAATAAATATATCTTCAACATCTGTTATTTTGAAAGTGTGATTTAGGCTTGAGCACTTAAATATTCAGAGTCAGTCCTTGATGATTGGCAGGGTAGACATTAGAGACCACATATGTTAAAACGCTTACCCATCAATGGCACCGTGGATGCAAAATCCGTAAGGTTTCAATTTATCGTAGCCATCGATGTGCCAGAGATAATTAGGCCCCTGAGAAAAGAAAGAACGAATCTAGGCGTTAGCTGCATGTGAAATTTTACGAAAGGTTATATTCCTGTTTTTTCCAGTAAAGTGATGTGCCAGATGATTCCCTATTTTTGAAATACAAAGAAATTGCCTGCTGAGCTTTTATATGAAATGGAAGGACATTTTTACGCCGGATGTTTGCTTCTCCACACACGCAGAGGTCTGTTGACTGGGGTTTGAAGAGGACAGGTGTTACATTTTATCTTACCTTACACGGGTATCTTCTTCTTTGTAATCTCCCTCTCCGTCTATTGGACACTCCCTCTGAATCTAAAACCCCTAAAACAATTCTTGTAGTTTCCCTGGTAAGATAAATGGGCGTTTAATTCACGACTTTTGAATTGAAATGTAGTGCCTATTTAAGTCATAATAAATAAGCATCATTTCCATCAGGTAACGTTCATAGTGAAATAACAATTATTGCAGTTGTCATTCAGGTTTCCTTTGTAAATTCCAAATTAAAGTTTCAGATATTGTGGAATCTCGTAACTTCTTTCTCGTTGTCTCTAATTAAACGGGTGGCTTGCATGGCGTCACTTCTGCATGTATACCCCTGTTCTCTGTAGATACACATTACAAGTCGATTCTAGTATGAATAAGCTGTGTGTTCTCAGCTAGTGAGAATCAGTGGATAATACTGTAACAACGTTCATATTCTAAAGGAGTGGAAGGTGGTGGGAGCTTGGGGTTTCTCTTGGCTAAGCGGTGATTATACGTATTTTCGTGGTACCTGCTAACAACAAGTCTGTGAACATCCCTTAGCCTCTGGTTCATTTGTCTGTAGCCAACACAGCTACCACTACCAGCTAGTTCTTCCTGTGGACGTCAAGAGATGACACAGACTGTGGATCAAACAGTTGTTGCCATTGCCATGTCCCTCCCACATGTCTCATTTAATTAACTCGGCAAATCTCTGCTCACCTCCACTGTAGCGACCACTTCCTCAATCCCACTCATTTGCCGTCTTCTTCGCAGTCCCATACGCCTGATAATCCGTTTGACGTGGCGTAAGCTGAACAAGGAAAGGGAAGCCAAATATGATTTTAGCGATGTACTAAAACCTTGAGAAGACTCGTCACTCCACAGGTAGTCATTTCTATCATAAATTATTTTTATTGCGACTTTTCGTCAATAACTGGCGTCAGTATTTCAAGTAACTTTTTATTTTACGTAAAATTGAAGCCGACATTTACTGCTGGATTCAATAGGCCTGCTGACGAAAGGTTTATCAAACTAGTACTTTGTTGATCCCAAATACGCAAGTCTTCAAAGGTTTCCTATAACCCATAGTTTAGTAGTACTTAAAGTTATTGTCTGAAGCGAAGTGAACGAGATAGTTATCACTAAGAACCATCAGCACACTCACAACCTATTCATGACTTTATACTTAAATGGGTCACAACACTAACCTGATTACTATTCCATGTGCAAGGCACAGAAAAGCCACTATCTCTGGGTAGGTAAAGCCATGGTTGAAGTAACCTTTAATAAGATGATTTCCTAAAAATGTTCAGGAAAATTACACAACAGTATTTCACCATATGTAATCCTCAACGCAATGCGGGATGTTTAGCCAAACTCAAACAATCGAAAGTTCTGTATTTCCTTGTAATAGAGCGGTTTTCACTTGACTGTCGAAAGGGATTGGTTTTGGTTTTGGTTTTGGTTATACTACGCCCTTTGGTTGGCTAGTGTATTTACTTTGGTTTTGGTTTTACGACAGTCAAGTGAAAACCGCTCTAATGGGACATAGGGAGGCAAAACACCCTTGACAACCTCAATGTAATGAAAAATTAGAAAACTCGTACTCAACAACTCAACTCAAGAATTTTATAGATGTCCCCTCAAAGCTTCCGTATGTTTTTGTTTATACTTACAATGAAATATTTTCTATTCGGCTAAGCGAACTACCGCAGGAGAATGACAAACAACCATATGTTATATAAAGGAATAAGATGTACCAGTAACTGGGAAAGCTTCGCCAATCATGGTCAATCATGCCTAATTATTCCTTTTAGTCCAAGGATCTTTACTACAATGCAAGTTAAATTAATGTTGGAAATTAAACAGCTCGATTTCGGTCCAGTTGCGTGGTAAACGAGATTCATGACCCGTCAGCAATTTAAATGTAAAGGATACATGGTGCATGTTCCGTATTTCCTTGTAATAATGGGACATAGGGAGGCAAAACACCCTTGACAACCTCAATGTAATGAAGAAATAGAAATAATACACCAATGGTTGCAGCAACTGGGCCTCTGCAATACACCTTTTTCTGTCCAAATCATGCAAAAGTCCCTCGCAGTCTCGCAGAACTCGACAGATTTTGCTCCCGCGATAATTTCGCTTTAATACCGCTGATTCAACTCCAACTCGTACTCAGCAACTCAAACTCGTACTTAACAACTCGAACTCGTACTTAACAACTCGAACTCGTACTAAACAACTCGAACTCATACTTAACAACCCGAACTTGTACTTAACAAACTCGAACTCGTACTCAACTACTCAAACTTGACTTAACAACTCAAACTCCTACTTAACAACTCGAACTTGTACTTAACAACTGTTGATGTTAAATGTGCAGCCTTCGAACTTGTCAATATGCGCTCCGGCAAAAATTACCTGAGGCCGGATTTGTTGGACTGTGAAGACATTTTGCTGTGTTGTAGTGGAGGTACTGACTTGGTTTTCTTTGCACTGAGCGGATGTACCAGGCTCACAATTCAGGATAGCAGACATTTCTCGCTGTCGCTTGAGAGATGCTAAATGGTAGCTGTTAAGGCTGTTTAAATTTTTGTGACCGCTTAGCTGTGCAACGAAGTTTGGCTGAACGTCTGCTTCGACAAGTCGTCCAACACTGGTCTCTCTAACTAAGTGAATAGAAATCTTCTTCTTGTTTGTGGCATTGAGTTTGGCTGCAGCAAACGCGTCTTGGTACCCGGCTCGTACTCAGTGCCATTTTGTTTACGAACGGAGATGAAAAATTTGGAGAAAGAAGGTCGAGTTCATTGGCAGGTATGTTTTCAATTGCTCTAGACTCTTTCAGTGACTCAAAATTTTTTCCATGCATTTAAATTGCTCTTAGTCTTGTCTTGAGTGTTTTGATTTCTGCTCCTGCAAAAATGTCTCAATTTCGACTTCATCTTTGCTGGTAGCTTCCTCGGCAGGACTCAAATTTGCCAACGTTTGCTCGTTTTCTTTACCTGTTTCCTCGTGAAGGTCCACAGATTCTTCCATTTAGTATTATTAACAGGAAAGAGCCAATTTTTTCATATACTTTGTTTGTAACTTTTTGAGGACAACTGTTCCGACAAGATCGGTCTAGACGTCGGTCTAGATGGGAAAATCTAGACTGCGGCCAAGATCGATTTTAGCCAATTAAATTCTTGAATTTGTTTGTTTCCATTCCTTTTGAGACATCGCCATATAATAAAATGGTATATAGTCAAGCCATTTTCTGGTCAGAGTCTGGCTACAAAGAGCAAAAGGTGCCCAGAACTCTACTTATTCATTGATCACTTTACATCTTTTTCTGCCACATGCAAAACAAGCTGTTGTAGTTTGGGCAAATGCACAGAGGCAAAATTTCAAGACGGATTTCAGGTTTAAAAATGACACAGTAGTCTCTACTTTTACCTTTTTGCTTGCTCCCCTCTTCTCTCTTTTTTTAACTTTTCTTGTCCACTCCCCTTTTTGCCGAGCATTGACTGTGTGGACTTCATTTTAGCGTGATAAGATTTCTCCCCCCTGCACAGAGGACATCTGAAGCGTTATTTGGGACGTGGATCCACATAGACAGCGGTTTTGGAAATGGAAAAACACACAATATTCTCGGTTTCTTATTTATTGGTTTGGTTACACAACATAAAAATCTCTCTCACACTGAAGTAAAATTTGCTCTCTAAAGATATATAATACCGCACATACATTGTTTCACTTATCTATCAGAAAACCTGTCAATATGCCCTATACCGGAATGTTTCAATCATGTCACGAGATTCTTGGGTTAACTACAACTTAAGTGTCTCACTAATAGAGCTCTTGACAGATTCAATAGCACTAATTGAAAATGCAATAATCATTTATTACTGACAACGGTTTCCGACAACACAGGCAGTTCACTGGCAAATGGTCTTTTTACAAAACGGTTTTTTGGGGGTGATCCATTCAAGTCATTAAGGCTTCATTGCTTCATTATTATTCAATTTTTGCTTGTCTTGTAGCTGTGGGAAACGAGTTGGAAGCAAGTTAAAGTTTTGGAAGGAAAAACAACTTGAGTTGGAAAACAAGTTCAAAAAAGTATATCCTAGTACTTCAGTTGTCATTAGTAGCAAAGGCAAATCAAAGAAAACAGGGAAAAAGTCTCAAAACAGCCAGAAAAAATGCTATGCCAACTTCCATTTGAGTTCTTTTGCTGCAGCCCACCTAACTAAGAAATTTGTAGTCAAGGTACCAACTTTGAACCTCAAAAATCAGATTTTTGGTACATAATATTTCCATGGATTGGATAACATTTTAGTAATAAAATTCTCTCTCTTAATTGGTAAATATTTTACATTACTTTGTAGTAAACTGTCAAGGAATTTCTGTTTAGAAAACCAAACAATAAAATTTAGGATCACAAGTAAGTCATAAATATGTAAACAAGAGGGTTCAAGTGTTTAAACTTGCATTTTTGGTACCCCTGTTGAAAAAATTTACTATTGAAAAGTTAACAGTATAAGCAACTATCTTGTGGGTTGTCGATGCACTTTGG